GAGGTTCAGGACATTGCTCACTTATGAGATGCCCTGTGACATCTTTGTTGAATTTCAGCTGCTATTCTGAAATGAATGTTTCCCACAGACTAAATCACATGGATGTCTCAGGCTTACATAGATATCTCAAACAGCAGTAGATGTCTGTGTGTAAGCACTTGAAAAAATCCTTCAGAGATATGTTCAGGTCCAGATTCAGGCACATAAAGGTGCCTGCAATGTCTTTATTTACACGTGAATTTGGTATTTAAGCTTCCGTTGTCTGCCTGCTATGGAGGCTAAAGATCTACTCAGTTCCCCCAAAACCAGTCCTGCATCTGACTGGCTGTAGCTCTTTAGACTTGACTGACTGTGTTGACAAGGGGTAGCCAGTGGAATTTCGCTCATTCTTGATGTTCAGTATACCTACTGAAAAAAAAAGGTTGGGTCACCTCAGGTGACGGGAGCTGTGTGATTGTGTGCTGGTGACTGAGTCATCCATGTGGATATCTCTGCTGTCTGTAACAGGAGCTGAGATACCTAATTTGCACGTTAACATCTATACTTAGGCTTTTAAATTTAGCTATTTTTCTTTTCATGGTGAATCCCACCATTGATGTTTCTCCTTTATTATTTGTAAGTATTGCAGTTAAATTTGTCATTTAACCTTGTTAGCTAGTGTGAGCCTAGACTCCCATTGGACTACTTTATTCTCCAAAGCTGCAGTCTCCTGCTTGCATTGTGCTACTAGAGACCTGCAGTAGCAGCAAGTATCATTTCATATCTTCCTTAGAGGAAAACAGAACAAGTTCCTCTCTTTTCACAGAATCACAGAATCATCTAGGTTGGAAGAGACCTCAAAGATCTCAAAAGTAGCCATGACCCTGAATACATTGATACCTATTGCTTGTAGAAAGGATAACACATCATCATAAAGTTATAGAATCAGAGTGGTTTGGGTTGAAAAGGACCTTAAAAACTATCTAGTTCCAACCCACTGCCATAGGCAGAAATGCCACCCACTAGATCAGGTTGCCTAGGGCCTCATACATCCTGACTTTGAACACCTCCAGGGATGAGGCATCCACAGTCTCTCTGGGAAACCTGTTCCAGTGCCTCACCACCCTCTGAGTGAAGTATTTCCTCCTAATCTCTAAACTAAATTTGCCTTCTTTTACTTTAAATTTTACTTTAAATCTATTCCTCCTTGTACTGTCATTATCTGCCTGAGCAAAAACTTGTTCTCCATCTTTTTTATAACTCCTCTCCCTCCTTTAAATATTGAAAAGTTGCTATGAGAACACCCAAGAGCCTTCTCTTTAGGCTAAACATCCCCAACTCCCTTAGCCTGTCTTCATAGGAGAGGTACTCCAGACCTTTGTTCATCTTGGTGGCCCTCCTCTGGACTCATTCTAATACTTCCATGTCCTTCTGAAGCATAAAACTCTGTTATGAATTATTTGAGGGTTGCATTTATGCTAAAATAGTAAACAGGGCAAGACCCAAAGTTCAAACACTGGTATATGGTACTGTGTAGTGGCCAACATGTCTTTTGGTGTGTTTTTGGCTTGTGACAACTTTTCCCAGATAATACTAAGAACAGATCAATCTCCAACAGACAGTAGGTATAAGGGTGTTGCTGCAGGAGAGATTTTTACAATATAGACATATATTACAGACACTTGGTGCCTGTGGGCTGAAGAACAAACCCTGTGCTCTCTTACTTTTAAATACTGATGGAGTATAAAGGAAAATCAATAAGCTAACTGAGGCTGAAAGTTATTACAAATAAACTGCAGAATCAGTATTTGTGTCTTTGTGTCAATTGCAAGTTTAAAAGAATCATTTGAGGGAAACTCATGAACAGATTAAAAGAGCTGTGCTTGTCAGACAAATCTTTCTCAGTCATAATTGAGCCAATTTAAGTTTGGTCCTTTGCTTCTTTAGGAGCTAAGATTTGTTTATCTGAAGACTGAAGATTGTAAATGTTCCAAAGAATTTACTAGGGGGGAAATTATACTGCAGAAATGTTAAACATTATATACTTCAATCATTATGATAAAGGAATGCTGTGTACAACAGTAAATTTTACATAAAGGAAGTGATTCTAGGGCTTAAAATTTCTTTTTGCTATGAAATTTAATAAAAATAAGAGACATCATTAAAGCAAGATCTTGATAATTTGAGCATGATTTATTGTGGCATCTTCAAATATGCTAAATGCCTCAAGGACTAAAGGAAATGAAAATAAGAAATGTGTTTAAAAAATAAAACTCTTCAGTGTACTTAAACATTCATGGGTGGTGGATGCACTTTGGGCTGTAATGATTCTAGCAGCTGGTTACAATAGCTTCTTCCAAAACAGAGACTTTCTTTTGTCTGAGAAGTTTTCTCTTTCAGACAAAGATAACGCTCTTCCAAACTACTGCTTAAAATTTGGGTGACTTGAACACGTCAATTGAACAAAATAATAACAATTTTTAAAAGTTTAAAATGTTGCACAGGCTTGCTTGTAGACTGTTTATTATGATAACAGGTTAATCTTAATTGAAACATAAAAATGGTGTGTATGGATTTTTTTATTTTCTTTTTTTTTTTTTGAGTAAGCATATATTGAATGAGAACAATGTATTCCCTTTTCCTGAAAACATGAAGGTAATTACAACAAAATTATCAGACATCATAGTATCCTAATAAAAGGTACTTTTAACAAGATAAGTAAATAAATTAGGCTACTAATTGCTTTGAGATATTAGGGGGTACAAATATCTAACTTGATTCCAAGAGATAGTGGACAAATTCACAGAGGATCAAGGACTCAGGACTGTCCAACATGGGGCAAATTTAACTTGAAGAAGTGTCCAAACCAGCAACTTCCAGAGGCTTGATGGTAAGGGGAAGTGGCAGCCTGTACTTTTACTGCTTTTATTTTTTCTTAATTTTTGGTAGCGGCTCTGTTAAACATAAAATGTTGGAGAAAATTGATATTTCATTGGACAGAATAAAGTGGATTTATGCCTGTAAAGATGCTCATCACTCTATCTTGTTATGCCATCTAATATAGGTTAAAGGGGGTTGGACCCAAGGATCTTTTGATGTCCCTTCCAACCCCTACAATTCTGTGATTCTGTGAAAGTTTGTATGCATAGTCTTTTTGAGGGGCGAGAAAAATATATACTAAATATGGTAGAAGAGACTCATAAGCCACTTCATATTCAATGTATATCTGAGTTTAAACATATAATGACTGTAAATGGAAATTAAAAATCAGATATTAAATTTAGAAGGAAATAACTGGTGCTCTATTTTGGTATCCTGTCTTACGTTAGGATAATGTTGAAAATTATATAGAATCATAGAATCATAGCATGGTTTAGGTTGGAAGAGACCTTAAAAATCATCTAATTTCAACCCCCTGCCGTGGGCTGGGATAGCTTCTGCTAGACCAGGTTACCTCAAGCCCCATCTGACCTGGCCTTGAACACTTCCAGGGAAGGGACAACCACAGCTTCTCTGGACAACTTGGTCCAGTGCCTCACCACCCTCAGAGTAAAGAATTTCTCTCTTGTGTCGAATCTAAATCTACCCTCTTTTACTTTAAAAATTACTGCTTGTCCTATCACTAGAGTTCCTGACAGAGTCCTTCCCCAGCTTTCCTGTAGATCCTCTTTGGTATTTGAAGGTTGTTATAAGGTCTTCCTGGAACCTTCTCTTTTTCAGGCTGAACAACCCCAACTCTCTCTGCTCCTTTCCATTAAGAGAGGTGCTACAGCTCCTTGATCATCTTTGTGGCTGTTCTCTGGAATTATTCTAATACTTCTATGTCCTTCTTGTGCTTGGGGTACCAGAGTTAAATGCAGTGCAGCAGTACACAGCAGTCCCCACAGTACAGATGGGATCTCGTGGGAAGAGAGAAGAGGGGGAGAATAACTTCCATTGATTTGCTGGCTGTTTCTTTTGATGCAGCACAGGGCACAGAAAAAATAAGTTTCTCCTAATATCCAACCTAAACCTCCCCTGGCTCAACTTTAGGCCATTTCCCCTTGTCCTATCACTGGGCACATGAAAGAATAGACTAATCTTCACCTCACTACAGCCTCCTTTAAGGTACCTGTAGAGAGCAATAACATCACCCCTGAGCCTCCTCTTCTCCAGGCTAGACAACCAAAGTTCCTTCAGCTACTCCTCGTAACACTTGTTCTCCAGACCCCTCACCAGCTTCGTTGCCCTTCTCTGGACTCTCTCGAGCACATCAATGTCCTTTTTGTAGCAAGGGGCCCAAAACTGAACACAGAACTCAAGGTGCGGCCTCACCAGAGCTGAGTACAGGGAGACAATTACTTCCCTAGACCTGCTGGTCACACTGCTTTTCATGCAGGCCAGGATGCTTTTGGCCTTCTTGGCCACCTGAGAACACTGCTGGCTCATATTCAGCTAACAACTAATACTCCCAGCTCCCTCTCTGCCAGGTAGCATTCCAGTCACTCTTTCCCCAGCCTGCAGTGCTTCTTGGGGTTGTGCCCCAAGTGCAGGACACAGCACCTGGCCTTGTTGAACTTCATACAGTTGACCTCAGCCCATCAGTCCAGCCTTTCTAGACCCTCCTGCAGAGCCTTCATACCCTTGAGCAGATCAACACACCTAACTTGCTGTCATCTACAAAATTACTAAGGGTGCTCTCTATCCCTTCATCTAGACCACAGATAAAGATATTGAAGAGAACTGGCCCTAATACTGAGCCCTGGGGGACACCAGCAGTGACCGGCCTCCAACTTGATCCAACTCCATTTACCACAACTCTTTGGGCCTAGCTGCCAAGCCAATTTTTAACCGGACAAAACATACGCCAGTTCAAGCCAACAGCAGCCAGTTTCTTCAGGATAACACTGTGGGAAATGGTGTCAAAAACCTTACAGAAGTTGGTAGACCACATCCACAGCATTTCCCTCATCCACTAAAAGCTTCACTTTGTCATAGAAGGAGATCGAGTTCATCAACCCATGATCACCTGGTAAATGAGATGTCAGGAGTGGGATTTGAACCCACGCCTCCAGGGGAGACTGTGACCTGAACGCAGCACCTTGGACTGCTCGGCCATCCTGACAACTTATTATATTCTTGTCCCATTAGCCATTATTATTTTTGCCTGATAAACAAGCACCTTGATAGCAGTGAGCTTAAAAAGACAATTAATTGAATCATACATAAAGTTTCGATGTCTTGGGTATTTTTCTTCATTTTCTTTCCTGACAATCTAGGCAGTTCAGACACTTAGAATATAAGACAGTAAACAATGGATTGGAAATCAAAATTTTGTATTAAAATAAGATCAAAAAGGATATTAAAATAAGATCAAAAAGGATAGACATATGAAGTCTTAGTTGAAAACCCTCCACAATTTCATAATGTATTTTAAATATATTTTGTTTCCATTTTTCTCATTTAGAGGGTCACTTGGTTTCTGTCTCCAATGGTAAATGAATAAATAGATAAATAAATAAATGAAACTCAAGTCAGTGCCAATTTATTTATTATTATTATTGCAATATATTATATATTTATTACATATATTATCATAATATATTTTAATATACTATAATGTATATAATTGCACATATATTATGATTTATTTATATATTTTATTGCAATAACAATAAATGAATTATTATTAAATAAATATATATTTTTTTCTTAATAGAAGTGCCATAAACATTAATTCTATATTAAAATTTATTCCTTACCCTTTAGGAATTCTGTCCCTTGTTTTTAAAATGAGATATGGAAGACATCTGTGTGCATATGTTCTCACTGGTCTCCTTTAAAAAACAAACCAAAAAAAAAAAAAAGTTTTTGGAAAAAGCAGACTCCATAATTTGTTGTTAACAAAGCATTAATTTTGCACTTTTGTTTTCAACTTTGTTTTCAATTAGTATTCTGGGGATAGAGAACTATGAGTGACAATATTACCAATGTATATTTTCATAGCCATAAAAAGTGTTTTCCTTAGTTATTGTGTAGTAAATATAACAGTAATATGATGCTATTTCTAAAACCAAGGATAACTTCAGGTCTGATCAGAATTAACAATTTATTATTAGTATTTTAAGCTCTGGCAATTGGACCTTTTTTATGGGGATTTATGATTATCTGACTCTTTTTGGATAACTTACTTATACAGTGGACTAACTGGGCTAATGCTAAATGTCAGGAAACAGCTATGAAATCTGTGGAGTAGAATTGAGGCGTAACTATGTCTCCAGAGTATGAGTAATTATGTCACATATATTAGAAAAAAAATGTATATGTATCAGAGTGTAAGCATCCAAATGGCTGCCTTGTTGCTTCCCTTGACTCATACAAACTGGACTGTGTTACCAACTCACTAAAGAGCATTGCTATATAGGACTTTGCAACTTATCCTGCTTTCAGCATGTGCTGCAAAAAAGGGTAAAGTTCCTTTAGTTTATATAGCTACCTTTTTCATTTGCAAAAATAATTTGAGACTGAGTAGTTTTCAGAAAGATATATGTATGTTCAGAAAAAAAGCATGTGTGAGCTTGATACCTAAGTTGTAGGGAAAGATTCTGTAGCCTGTATCATGCTGGATGTGAGATTACAGCTTTGTGAAAGGTACAAACCAACCAGACAAGTTCTCCTGTCTTATATGCAGACTTCCTCCAGCTAAATGTACAGAGCTACTTAGAAAAAAGTTTGCAGATGTCAGGTCCTTAATTCTAATCTGTGTTTCTAGTGTTATATGAAGAAACTTTTAACTGTCATTCTATTTGCTTTTTTGTTGTTGTGCTTGCGGTTATTGTTGTTTTTTGTTTGTTTGTTTGATTGATTGATTGATTGTTTTTTAATGAAAATAATCTATCTGCATCTTGCTATTAATTTTTATAGTGATTCTTCATCATTAGGAAAGATTTAGAATTGCTTTGCTGTTCAAACATCATTTTACATTTTTTTTCTGGATAAGATACTTTTATGTTCTCGTGCAGTCTCTCAGAGGATATTCAAGGGTTTGAAACGTCTCTATTTTGGTTTATTGGATTGCACATTTGATCTGATGTTATTTTTAGCTAAATATTGAAAAAACAAAACAAAACAAAACAAAACAATAGTAACACACACACACACACACACAAAAAAAAAGCTGTTGAGATAGAACTGAAACTAAATATCTATAAACTGTAACCTATTTATCAATACTGATATAACAGAATATACATTGGAATCACAAGACAGATTCTTCTAAGTGTCTCTAAGATTGTAAGAAAAACTACAGTACTAGAATCCAAGGACTTTTGGAAAAAAATAAATACCATTGAATAAGTATAGATTTAAATGTTTGCATAGTTTCAGAAAAAGCTGTATAAATATTTACTACAACATTCAAAATAGTATCCATTCTACACACAATTACTTTTTCTATATATTGTTAAACTGTGCTCAGACTTATCTAAATGGAACAGGTTCAAGAAAAAAAAAAAAAAAAAAAACTCTGTTATAGAATTCTCCATAAAATGTAGGATATATTTTCTACCAGTTAGCTGGGCTTTTTTCCATTACAAATGAACATAGAGAGGGAGATGCACTCCAGAAAGTGATTCATCCTCTCTCTAAAGTAAGACAAATTTTCTGGACACAGTTTTCTCTTTCTGTTGACTAAAGGGGGTGCGGTGTACATGGAAAATACTAAAATGTCCTGCTTTTTTCTTCTCAAGTGCCTCACTGCTACATTTTCCTCATTCTAATGATTATCCTGCATACAAATTGTAGCCAGTATACATTAAAGTCTGCCTCTGCTGCATTCACCGTGCATAGCTTTTGTCAGTTATTTTAATTATTGATTGGCTTTTGAAGACCTCACAAGCAGCTGAAATTACAGTCTGTGATTCCTTTCCTGAATCCTTTTAATAAGCATTTAGTATACAACCAATTTGCCAGCTTCTCTGCAACTATGTGAAGCTCAAGCACATACCAGTAATTTATTTGGAGATGTGTTCAAAGAAAAACAGACTAGTCTAATTTAGCTAACAAAGCAATGCGAATCTACAGCACAGCATGTTTCTAAACTAAGTTACCAATGCCTTGCGACTTTTTGAGCTTGGAGGATATTTTTCTGTCATGCTTAGCATGCTGTTTTTTCTCCCCATCCCTGATGCTAGCCATTCCCATTCACCATTTCAGTGGTAGCTCTTTTCCCTGGGCCATATATCTTAATTCATTCTACACAAGAAGAAATACATATAAAAGGAATATATATTGTACAGAAACATGCAGAATTACACCTTTATAAAGTGCAGCTTTATTTCTTTTATAGCAGTTATCTGTATATCTGTGTGAACATCTGGATGAGTTCTTGAGTAGAATGAGCATATTAACTTTTTATTTATACTTGTAATCAATGTAGAATATGAAATAAAGGAATTCATAATGTATGTATGACTTACATATTATACATATTACATTATATTTATGCCCTCAGAGACCTTCATTTTCTCTCTTCCAACTCCTTTACTAATATCAGCTTTATTTTGTGAGGCTTCCTTAAGTACCATAGATACCCAGTGGTTTTGAGGGTTGATTAGAAAAAATGTATAAACCACACATGCTTGTGAGACTTCCCTCTAAATGCACCAGGGAACATTCAGCTTTGCCTGGGGAAGTAATTTGAAAGGATAACTGATCAGGTCAAGTTCAAGAGATCTTTTTCTAGTCTGTTGATATAAATTAGGTGACCTTGGAGACATCCTGGCCTGAGTATAAAGTCTATGGGTCTTGTGAGGCTTTGGGGGAGAAGACAAGGATGAAGTCATCAAACAAGCTCTTATTTCTGACTTTAAGCTGCGGAAAATTGATTTTAAGAATACAGCTTATTTTTCAAGATCTAATCCTGATAATGATAGCTTAAAAAACAACAAAATCCATTTGCCATCTCTTTGATAACAGTAGCATATTCGCAATAGAGAAATTGTTCATTATAGGTGTCATCTAAAGGTCTCGTCTAAATTTTGCTTTTGGTGAATTAGGTAGCTGAAGAAAACCGAAGAGGAAAGAAAAAACAATCATAGCTCTGACCTCACTCCTGATATTCTCTTCCCACTTCTGCCCCTTTCCCATCCCAAAGGTGGAGAACAGATTTGCCTCTATTGTTGGAAATTTCTAACTATCCTACTCTGCTGTCAGCACTAGCGTGGTGTGCTTTGACCCTGAAACAGTCAGGGTATTTCTGATCTGGTAACAGCTCTGTTAAGTCTTGCAGCATCCTGGTGAAGAAGACTGATGCTAGCCTGGGGATAACTGTGTCGTATAAACACACACTTATATTTCCATATGTCTGCCGAGAGCATAACTCTAATTGTTGTATGAAATCATCTCACTTCATAACTTCACAAGCATTGAAATGAAATGCCAATATGTTTATAATTTTAATTCCCTTCATTGTATTAGGCAATGTCTAGACAGAAAAAAACTGAATCTTCTTTTACAGTGGCTAGTTTTAAGTTATAAGTTCCATAATAATTTTAACAAAAGTGTAGGATCTCATAGCTTTTTTGAGGGTTAATATCGTATTATAATAATAATGTTATAGTGCTAATAGTGTAATAATGTTAGCTTCCACTAGCTGATGGCAAGTTGTGCTATTGCAGTTTTTAAAAATATTAATTTCTGTATTGTTGTTATTGGTTTGCACTCAGCAAATTTAAAATTAAGCACATAAATATACTTTCTATAACTCCCATGTAATATCTAGAAGAGAATTAAAAAAGCAGAATACCTGACTGAAGCAATATTATAAGATGTTCTATGTGGAGAGAGGGTGAAGATACAGGATAATAAAAATGCATTTGAAATTTAATATTATAGGGGAAATACATATATATCATATATTACTAATGCATGCATATCAGTACTGGGGGAACAAAACTTGAACAGAAAAGAGATCCCTGATAAATAACTGTTCTCTATTATGACCATGGGAAATTTGAGACTCAAAGATAGTGTGGAGTAAGGATACAAATCTAGTATCCAGTATCCAGTATATCCATACTCAAAGTGTGTTGGCTCTGATGTTATTAATATCTAAATAATGATGAG